GGATCCATGGGCTGGGAGGGCTTTTCCAGCCTCAGGGATCCTGGGATTCTTGCACAGTCCAAGCAGCTGCCTGACGGGTCTCCCCCATGATCAGCTTTCCTGGGTGACATCCATCCCTGACCTCCTGTGTCATTCCAGCTTCTTGGCTGCTTTTCTTCCCTGCTTTCTGCAAGGTGTCATTCCTGGCCTGGTGGGAAGTGTCCCTGCCCCTGGCAGGGGTTGGAACTGGATGGTCCCTTCACACCCAAACCATCCTGGAATTCCATGATAAAAGCTGGAAGCACCAGGCTGTTCCAGGTCTGTTCCCTGGGAAGGAGCAGGGTGATGTCCCAGTGTCCCATGAAGGTGACAAAACCCTTCCCAGGCCATCAGTAATGGAAGCTCTGAGCATTTTCCAGGTGGTGGTTTTCCAGTATTTTCAGTTTTCAGCTGTGTGATCCTGGGGCAGTGCCAGGATTGGCAGAGCACTGGGTTTGGGAAGAGGCAGACGGATGATCCAGTTATTTCCCAACCTGTGAGGGTGAAATCATTTGCTGGCAAGAAAACTAAGCAGTCAGGTGCTGGAGGCAGTGGATAAAGGGTTAAAAAGGAGGATGTAATTGCCAGCAGAAAACTCCATAAAGGAAATTTGGGATCATTTGGGAGGAGGATATACAGGATAACCACGCTCTGGGATTCAATCCATTCCACCCCATTTGTCCAAAAAAACCCCAAGATGAAGAGCTGATTTCACCAGAGGAGGTTGGTAATTGGATCAGAGTCACATTTTCTGAGGAAAACACGTGTTTTGTTGAAAATGGAATCGCTATGGAATCAACTATGAACAAAATTGGATCGATGGAATGATTGGATATTTGAAGTAAAAGGATTATTTCCGAAGCTTTGCAGCTCTGAAAACAGGGATGATCCATTTCAGAATTTAGTTCAGCACCGAAATGTGACCCAGAGTGAGGGTCTGTGAGACCCTTGTGTTCATGGAATCATGGAATCACTGAGGTTGGAAAAGCCCACGTGACCAAATCCAACTGTCCCTCAGCACTACCAAGGCCACCACTGCCCCATGTCCCCAAGTGCCACATCCACAGGGTTTGGGAATCCCTGCAGGGATGGGGACTCCAGCCCTGCCCTGGGCAGCCCTTTCCAATGTCTGACAGCCCTTTCCAGGAAGGAATTTTCCCAGTGTCCAGCCTGACCCTCCCCTGGCACAGCTTGGGCCTGTTTCCTCTTGTCCTGTCCCTTGTTCCCTGGTTGCTCCCTGTTCTGGCTCCTCGGTCCATCCCCCAGTGCTGAGGTTGCCTTTTCCAGGTTATTTTTGGGTTGGTGCCTCAGAGCTGTTGGATCAGTCGCTCTTCCAGCACCTCTGGAACACCCGAGGCACAGCTCAAGTCCTGCAGATCCAGGAGCCTCATGGAATCATGGAATGGTTTGGTTTGGAAGGACCTTAAAGCCCATCCAGTGCCACCCCTGCCATGGGCAGGGACACCTTCCACTAGCCCAGGTTGCCCCAAGCCCCATCCAACCTGGCCTTGGGCACTTCCAGGGATGTTGAACCCTTCCAGGGACGAATTAGTGCCCAGGAAAAACTGGGAAACACCCATTTTTTCAGTTGATCTGCCTTGTCAACTCAGCTGCAAGGGGGATGTCCACCTCCTCCAGAAAAGGTTGTGGTCACTGGCAGGTGACTTCCATGAGTCCCGGGCTGAAAAAAAACCAGGGAGAGGTGCAAAATAATGGGTTTTTGGGGATGACATCCCTCAGTTTTCCCGACAGGCAGCTCTCACGGTGTCTCTGCTCTGCCCCAGGTGAATGGTGTGAACGTGGTGAAGGTGGGGCACAAGCAGGTGGTGTCCCTGATCCGGCAAGGGGGGAACCACCTGGTGATGAAGGTCGTGTCCGTCAGCCGCAAGCCGGAGTCGGAGGAAGTGGTTCGGAAGAAGGGTAGGTGTGAATCCCGGGATTCCCTGGGCTGGGGGGACATGTCACCCAAGGGTGGGAACCACCAGAGGGTCTGCAGTGGCACCAGTGAGGAGGGAGGGCACTGGGAGAGGTGATGTGGCTGTGCCAGGCACAGACAGCTCCGAGTGGGAAGCACCGGGATGCGCCCACGGCTGCGGGTGGGGCCGATGGTCCTGGGAGAAGAACAGGCAGAGAAAAGCTCAGAGTAAAGCTCAGCAGAGCTCAGAGTAAAGCTCAGTGTCCCCTAAGCTACTGAGTCCTGCCTAACCAACCAGCCACTGAATAGGCTCTGTCCTGACAGCCCGTTAAAACCAAGTTTTCCAAAGCCAGGCGCTGGAAAACCTGCAGTTCAACACCAGGGATCCGAGTGGATCAGGAGGAAGGAAAAGTCATCAGGCTCCCTTTTAGTTTTCACTGGTGCAGATACTTCTCACAAAGCTGAGCATTCTGCTGCCATTGCGTTTTGAAGCCTTTGGGGGTTTTTTTTATGAGACTGAAGACAACAGAATTTAATGTTATTGAAAAGTGGAAGCTGAAATCTGGGAAAACAATATTCCTCGGAAAGATGGAAGTTCCTGACCTAAGCTGGTTTTATCCAGGCAGGACACACAGTTCATTTTGGAAACGAAATTACTGTTATTAAAAAATGATGCAGGTGGTCAGGGGAGCTCTGGCAGATCCCAACCCCTGCTGGGATGCAGGACACCAGCTCTGTTTTCCCACCGGAGCCGTGTGTGCCCAAAGCTTGGAGCCAACTCCTTGGGATCAGCTGCTCCACACGGTGCTGGAGAGCAGAGACCCCCTTCCCTGAGGGGTGTCAGGGTGGGGAACAGGCCCCGGGGGTGTTGGGGGCAGGATGGTGCCCGCAGGAGCTCAGGGGGTGCCGGGATGGAGCCTGTGCTTCCTCAGGGATTTGAGCACCTTGGTTCTCTCCAGCTCTCACACAGAAATGTGGCACCAACACTAAGGTTGTTTTCCCTGCAGGCCTTAAACTGGAGGAGGGCAGGGTTAGGTGGGATATTGGGAAGGAATTCCCAGCTGTGAGGGTGGGGAGGCTCTGGCACAGGTTGCCCAGAAGCCGTGACTGCCCCATCCTGGAATTGCTCCCATCCCTGGGGGCTCCTTTGGCATGGACGGTCCCAGGGCTGCTGGTCACCTGCTGGGACCCCTGGGCTTGGGGACACCCAGGTGGGGAAGGCAGGGACACCTGGATGGGAGACAGACACGGCTGTGTCCGGGAGGGACACACCCTAGAATCCAGCTGTGGTGGGCAGGAGGGTTTTGGAGGGATTGCAACTGGCAATCCCACACTGGGAATGGGATGGAGGGGACAGGAGAAGGGGGGAGGGAGTGGGGGGACAGGAACAGGGAGATGGGATCATGGAAGACAGGAGCAGGGATGGGAACAGGAGGGACAAGAGGAGGGGAATGGGAATGAGGGAGACAGGAGCATGGGAATGGGAGTGGGGTGGCAGGAGCAGGGGGATGGGAACGGTGGGACCAGGAGCAGGGGGATGGGAGCAGGGGGCTGGGATCAGGGGGATGGGAGCACAGGGATGGGGGCCAGGATCAGGGGCATGGGAGCACAGGGATGGGAGCACAGGGATGGGAGCACAGGGATGGGAGCAGGGGGCCAGGATCAGGAGGATGGGAGCACAGGGATGGGGGCAAGGATCAGGGGGATGGCAGCACAGGGATGTGAGCACAGGGATTGGAGCAGGGGGCCGGGATCAGGGGGATGGGAGCACAGGGATGGGAGCACAGGGATGGATGGGATCAGGGGGATGGGAGCACAG